GGGGGGGGGGGGGGGGGGGGCAGAAGAGTGATTTTGGGTGGGGTGTGTGTGTGTGTGGAGCTGCATGCCTCGTGTGATGTGATGCTGGACATAGAACTTTTCCTTCTGCTCCCGCGAGAAGGCCACGCGAAGCTCGTCGATCACGCCCTCCTCCGCAAACTGCTGCAGCTCGTCGCCATACAAGTAGTCCTACACCACACGGACACAGACAGACAGACAGACAGACGGACGATCGACGGGCGGCTGGGTGGAGGGAGGGGGGCGCACAGCACTTGTTCTGGCCGGAGGAGAAGTTAGTTACCTTTTTGGAGTATCTGCAGCCGAAGTACATGGTCATGGGCCCCACCTGCTTGCCCTGCCGCTTCAGGAAGGCACGGTGCTGCACAAACGCTCGGAACGGCGCCAATCCAGTGCCCTGATCCGATAGATCCACACACACATACACACAAACAAACAGCCACACACACGATCAAACACGCCGTCTCGTATGTATTTGCGCCTGTGTGCGTGTGCGTGCGCCGCACCATGGAAGCCATGATGACGGGGACGCGGTCGTTGGGGGGCAGGTTGAAGGTGGTGGCCTTGAGTGAGCAGGCGTAGAAGATGGGCGGCGACGTCTCGGTCACAGGGGTGCGGGTCACGTAGCCCGTGCACTCGCCGACCCGGTACTTGCCAGAGGGGGTCTTCCTGCAGTCGACAACAGCGTAAGGTGAGCACCGGCAGGGAATTTGTGAATCGCTTTTGGCGACTGACCAGTCTACAATGCCGATGCAGAGCTGCAGCCGGTTGCCGCCTAGGTAGCGCTGCGATGAGGCGATCGAGTAGTAGCGGGGCTTCAGCAGAGGAACCTGATACACACACGCGCACCCGCCACACACCACAGTGAGTGCATCACAACACCCCTCCACCCATCTCATCTGCCAGCGGCTCCTACGTACGCACCATGTCAATGAGCTGCTCGAGAGTGGGTTTGGCCGACGGGAACATCTGCAGGACGTCGAAGCAGTGGACGGTCTCGTCGGTGAGCTTGCGCATCTCGGGTTTGCCCTCGGGCGACACCAGGTGCTTAGCGCGAGACTTCTCCTCGCTGTCGGTGCAGCACTTCTGCAGTGACTCGTAGAAGTGGCGCGTCGGCCGGCCAAAAAGGTCCAGGCACTGACGTGACGGACAACACACAGCATGACAGCATGAGACGGTGGATTGGCGGGGTGGGTGGATGAGTGCATGTGTGTGTGTGCATACCTCAACGCAGAGTTGTCTGATGGTCATGGGTTTCTTGAAAAGTGCGTCGTATCGCGCATTGGACTGCGTGGGGTCGCTCTTGGAGAACTGCACCCACAGGTCGGCGTCGTAACTGAACACAGAAAAAGCCAAGACGCGCAGAAGGGGCGTTGACGCGTTATGCGATGGTGACTGTGGTTGTGGATGTGTGTCCGCACCCACTCCAACTCACCCCATGTAGTTGCAGAAGGCCTCGACCTCCTTCGGATCGTTCTGCGGGAAGATGGCCAAACTGTCACCTGCACCACACACACACACACACCCCATCCACCCTCACACCCTCCCCTCCACCTCTCTCTCCCCTCCCCTCCCCCCTACTCCCTCCCTCCCTCCCTCCATCACTGACCGAGTCCGTATCTGAAGTTGGTGCCCGTCAGATCGAACTCGAGATGGCGGACATCCTTGTCGTAGTCATCGGGAGTGATGCGGGTGTTCTCAGTCAGCCGCAGCAGCACCGCCCCCTGCGGCACGCACTGCTCGTAGGTGCACGTAGCGGCGTCCAGGGGCGTGGCGGCGAAGTTGGGGGGCGGCAGCTCGTCCGACTCGTGCAGCGGGGCAGGAGCCTTGATCTCCGTCCAGAAATCGGGCAGCCACTCGCCCAGGGCAGTGTCGTAACGCTCCTCATCCTACACTCACCCACACACCACAACGACACACATGGTCATTTCATTGCAACACACACGGTGTGGTGTGGTGTGGTGTGGGCGGCAGATCAGATGGGACAGAGAGTACCTACCTGGTCGTCGCCCAGCCCGCATGGGAGGAGGCGCGTGGCGCCGAGCTTGGCGAACTGCTCGTCGATCATCTTGGCGGCCTGGTTGAAGAAGCAGTAGGAGGAGTCGCCCAGCCCGAAGACGCCGTAGTGGAGGTCCTTCAAGACGGTGTCGTCCAGGGTGGGGTCAGACACCGCCGTCCAGAAGTCCTTGGCGTTCTGGGGGAACTCACCTGTATGTCATCCACACACACACACACACGCACAAAAATATACGTGTGGGCAGGGGTGCGTCGGCGAGGGAGGTTTGGTTTGTGTGTTACCTTACCTTGCCCGGCGGTCGAGCAGATGA